TTGTCTATCCCGTCTATTCTTTGATTTGTTATATCAATTTGACAGTTGTTTGAGAATATTTTGTTGACTGCACGATTCACGACAAAGAACAGATTATAAAGATGAATAATCCCATATATAATAGTTGAGTCTTTCTCACAAGAGAATGACACATCAACATCTTTCTTCTTGACAAATCATCATTTAAAAATAGAGTTAATTAGGTAGTAAACAATAGATTCTTGTGACAATAAGAATTTGAAAACTCGAGAATGACAATAAGATTTACTTCATCCATGGCTCTGAAATGAAATTTAGGGGAAATCTCTAATACAAATCCGCAAAAACTTATCGATCCTATTTACTGGTTAAACGACGGCGACTCACTCCGCCGACCGTTGGAGTTTTCGCCGCACCGTCAACAAATCTAGTCCCTAACACTTGTCTCGTCCGGCAATAAAGACATCTCGATCTCAAAATGGTCGTCCGGTAATCAAGACATCTCGATCTCAAAATGACACGCCGTGCTCCCAGATAAGCAAAGTTTTCAGACAAATCAAGCTGCATATCCCAAGTATTTTGCCCACCACTTTTGCATCTATTTTGATTTTTCGTTTCTTCTTTGTTTCGTCTAGATCTCCATATTAATAATATTTATTATGACTAAGTCAATGTTGTTTGCGGATTTTTAAGTTATATCATAATTAATTTTTACCGGATTTACAATGTCCATAATTCCCGGTTGTTGCTGTTGTTGAGAGACTGATCCAAGAACTAATCTGTGCAAATCTTTAACGTTTAGATCAAGCTTGTGATCCATATTTCAGAAGCATGCTCTGGTTTTTGGATCCCAAGTATTTTGACCACCACTGTTGCCACAACTCCGAGTTTCAGTCAGTGGTTGGTGAAACTGAAACCAATTAAAAGAATGCAATCGTGTTTCTGCACTAATTCCTTCAGTTCAGTTCACTTATGATGGTGGCTCAATTGATCGTTAACACCTTGCAAACATGTTAAGCTGACAAATAAGCATACATGCAGAGACCTGATGCCACTGTCCGTAGCCACAAAATCCACTGTATGTAGTTATTCTCACATTATATGGTTTATTGTGAGAAACAAAAAAAAATAAGAAACCATTATTCTCATTCAATTCAAATCTCAGAAACATTCCAATTCCAAAATGAAAAACCCCTAAAACAACATCTGAGATAGATCTTAAAACTCCCGAATTTAACAAACCCTAAAAAAACAAAGAGACGATTTTTACAAACTCCGATTTCATCATCCTCTCAACCGCCGAATCCATACAGAGTTCGTCCTTGTCTCTTCAAAGCATAAACAACATACAGAGTTGTAAACGATGAAGAAAAACGCGCGGGAAAATTCCATCATCTTAGGGCGGCATTTTGCTTCATCTTCTCGTCTGTGTTGATTCTGGTGGTTGGGTCCGATCTTATTCTAATCACTTTTGATACTTGTTCTATGAATATAACTATAATCAGAATTTAGTTTGTCAATTCAGGAATATAATTATGAATACTTGTTCTATGAATATAACGGATGTTTTGGTGAATTGCTTCATTAACTGATTTATCTCTACTTCTGGTGTTACCATAATCGTAAAAGACATATTATTGATTGCTCCTAAGTCCTGGACCTTCTCTTGTATTTTTTCCTAGGTTCCATCTGAGTCATCATTTCATTATGCTGCTTCCAGGTGTGGTTTTGGATCTAAGAAAGAAAGCTTTAATCGAAGATTTTGCTGAGTATTCTGTTGTGGTCATCAATGGCTACCTCCCTTCGGTATATCTTTTGTCAGTTTGGATGCACTTAATTCTTTCTCTAACTCAGCTCCATTTTCTTTTCTTCAGGTTAATAATAAATTAGTTTTCAAAGTAACAAAATATCTTGTTTTTTTTCTGTTGCAAACTCAGCTTCTTTTAGCATTAGCTCAACTTCTGTCCGAACTGTTGAAATGTAGAAGAAAGAGTTCTGGGTTAAAGACTGCTTCATATGCGATAAAATTGATGGACCTGCTCTAAGAGAACCCGAATCGCAGCAAACTCTTGCCCGGCTTGCTTCCTGTTCTCATTGCCTCCATTGACCATGTCAATGCTCCATTATGTAAGCATTATTTCTATCTCTCTCTCTCATCATGGCTGAGTTCTTTTGCAATTCCTTCTGCTCAATGCTATCTATCAAAGACCTTTATGATCTTCTGTTCTTTGACCTCGTGCAATTTTTCTTGTATCCATTGGCAGTGTGGGACAAGAAAATGGTGCACACGCAGTTTAACTGGCTATGGCACCACATTTTCACCATACAAGGTCGAAGGCGTATTCTTCCCATTGGTTCTTGCACAGGAAAGCACATCCCAAACCGCCAAAAAAAAGCAGCCATTGTCTTACAGATCTCTAACACCAAATGATCAGAATGTCTTTAAGATTCTTGCAGAGTATCAACTTTCTCACCCGGATGAAGACAGCATGCCCACCGATAATCTTTATTCAGCCTCTCGGGAACGCTTCTTTGTTAGCAGTCAAGTGACTTTGAACTCTCTTTGTTAACACCAAGAGAAACTCCAATAGTCATGAGTGTTTGAATATACCTCTCTCTTCGGATGCACTTGGACAACTCTTGCTTGATCTTAATCAGTAGCCTCAGTTGTACCCTTACCCTGTGATATGATTCGTTTATATTGCTTGAACATTATAGCTTCAAATATATTATTCAACACTCAAAGCTCATAAATTATAATCAGATTTGTACTATCTGAGATGATAACAATTTTCTTTCTTCTCTGTACGAAGTACAAACCCAACATGAATTACACACAAGATTGCAATCTGATGAATAATCTCATTAAAAGAGTGGAAACGCGTATATATGAGTGGCCAATATCAATGACTATGAGAGGTGACTTCTATAAGCTTTCTACAAACGAGGAAACTGAACATAAGATCGTTTCCTCCGAGATGTGGACGCAGACACACACGCACCTCGTGCTCTTCCGGGCCAGCTCTTAGTTTCGGGACAAGTATCTCAAGAACTGAACCGGGTCCATCGTAATACGCTTCAATGTTTGCATCTTCTGGGATTCGGGTTGATATCGGGATCTCTCTGACAAAGATGCAAACGGGACTTCCTGCTTCTATGACTTTCAGTAAAACCGATTTTGAAAAGAAGCTAGAATAGATTTCCATTCGCCAACACCAAATTCGTAACACGGTTACGCTGGTAAAAGTGTTTGATTGACTTGAAACAATATTACAAAATTGGCTCAAAGATGTTTAATTGTGACCAGAAGAATCATTTGCATTCACGGTTTATTTTGTAACTCAACGTTGCTTGGATATGAATATAATCTTGTGGGATGATAACAAATATTATTGTGTTTAATATTTAAAATATGTGAATTCTAACATTGAAAGCAGGTTTGCCCGAGTGGTTAAGGGGGAAGACTTAAGTTCTTCTGCACATAAGA